GGCTGTGCGGGAACCCGCGCTCGCCTCTCCGCAGCACCCCCTGCGCCTCCGCGCAGCCCCGCCGTGCCCTCCCGCGTGGGGTGGGAAGGGGAGAGGATTTGTGGCCGTATCTTGCCCGGGCACGGCCAGGGTTGGGAACAGATCCCGAAGGAGCCAGGCTGGCCGGACCGGTGTTTTGCCGCCTGGAGGGTGATCCCCTCCCTGCCGCAGGCAGGACACCTTCGGGCTCCCCCGGCGTTTCCCAAAGCTCCCACAACCTGACCTACTTCCTCGGCCGCCTGTGCCGGGAGGAGCCGCTGCGGGGCTCGGCCGAGCTGCTCCCCAATGCCGGGGGCTGCATGAGCATCCACTCCCCTGCCGCACCACCATGGGAACATCCGTGTCCCCCATCCCCGTGCACGCCCCGTGGCACCGCAGGCATGCCAGATCCTTTCGGAGGGTCCGTCCCTGGTGCCCTTCGTGGGGTGCCGATGCCCGGAGCAGGTGCTGGGCTCGCAGAGGGAGGTGACAGCGCAGGCCGGGAGCTGTCAGACAGGTTTGTGCGTGGCAGCAATTAAAAGCGGGGTGTTTGTTTACGCGGCGCGTGGTGCTGAGAACCAGGGCAGCTTCCTGGGTGTAACCCGGCCCTGGAGCCCTCGGCAAGGCTGGAAGCCATGCTGGGGGTTCTGCCTCGCCCCTGCCACGCTTGCAGTGTCCCCTGCGCTGGTATGAGGCCATTGTCCCTCTCCCTAGTGCTGGGGAGCCAGAACCAAGGCCGAAGGCATCCTCTCATCCTTCCTCCCCCGGCCACCTGCGCAGGAAGCTGCATTGTCCCGTCAGCATCCTGCCCCTTCCCACCGCCCTCGCGCCATGTCCGGCCACGGGGTCCCCAGCACGCACACAGCAGCTGGGCTGTGGCTGCCTCATCCCTGCCTGGTACTGGGGTGGAAACGCCTGTGGATGGAGCGGGCCCGTGTGCAGCTCACCCTGTGAGGTGCAGGAGCCCATGCCGTGCGGGAAGTGTCCCCGTGGTGCTTGAGAGGTGCCTGTCACCTGCACACCCTGGGGAGGGCAAGCTGATGGGCATCCCCAGGGGCGTTCTGGGGAGTTCTCCAGAGGGTGTCCGGACCCAGAGGTCCTGGCAGGGCGGGTGGGTGCTGCGGGGCTGGGGCTGGCGCCAGGCCCGGGCAGGTGCTGCCGGCTCCCGAACTCGCCCGCCTGGCTGGGCGGCAGGTGCCTGTTCTGGTGGCAGCCCCGGCCGCGGGCGGGAGGTGGGGCTGGGTGTGGGAGGGAAGCGCTGCACCGTTGGGGGGGGCAGCAGCAGGGAGCCCCTGCCTCGGTGTGTGCTGTGCCCTGGCACCCCTTTGCTTGGCTCCCCCAGGGAGCTGCATAGGAGATGGCAGGTCTGTCCCAGTGCCAGGAGCCCAGGTGGGTCCTTGGGGCTGGGCAGGAAGGGGGGTGCTGGGGGTTTTGCGGTCCTGATTGCCCGGCGTTACTGACTCTGTCTCTCCCCCAGCAGTGCTGGTACTGGGCTTTTCTCTAATTCTCCATGGCAGCAGCACAGGGTCCTGTGACCTGTGAGCCCGACACCCGTGTCCTTGGCACCTACCTCTCCTCAGAGCCTGCCGGTGTCGTTGGCAGCATGGGCAGCGTGGGCAGCCTAGTGGAGAAGCAGGATCTGTCCCCTCTGGAGCTGCGGGCCCCACTGGGGGGCTCACGGGGGCTTCGGCAGCCCGACGGCTTGTTGCGGAAGGGGCCAAACCAGCGGGAGCTCTTTGGGTACCTGCACGGGGCCAAGAAGGAGATGCGGTCGGAGCGGAAGCACCAGACTTCGGGCGCCTGCTACAAGAGGGACTACGAGAGTGACCGTGAGAACCGATCCCCTGAGCGCTGCTCCCGGGAGCATCACCGTGGGGCTGACTTCTCCAAGAGCTCCCTACCAGAGCGGGGCCGCTTTGACAAGGTGAGGCTGTGGGCACCGTGCAGGATTCTGGAATAAGTCCTGGTCTATGAGAGGATGGGGTGGAGCAGAACAGTCCATGCCCCCCTGAATGGGATGTGGGGATTTGAACCCCCTGGCTGTGGGGGCTGTTGGGCTTATGCTGACTCTGCTCTTGTTTTTCAGTGCCGTATCAGGCCCTCGGCCTTCAAGGCAGTGGCTGGGAAGGGGCTGGTCTCCATGCAGGGCCTGTCCTCATCCAAGGGGCAGAAGTTGTCCAAGAGCAATGGGAGCCTGCACACGCTGCTGTCGCAGAGCAGCACAGCAGCCCCACAGCACGGCCCGCTCCGCACCCACCTGCTCCACGCCATCAGCCTGGATGAGGCCTCTGACTCCAGCCACAACTCCATCCAGAGCTTCCCATCGTACGGCTCCCGCCTCAAACCTGCCCAGAGCCAGTTCAGCGCCTCCATGGGCCACATCAACCACATCGGGGGCTCCTTGGACAGGGTGTCCCGGAGCCCCAGGGACCCGCTGGCCCCTGAGAAGGTGCCCCTGTCCTGCAAAAGCATGGCCACACTGAGCCGGCTGCAGAGCCCCGGCGAGCCCCCGCCACCCTATGAGTTCTCCTACTCGCTGGAGGACGCGGTGAAGCAGCTGGAGGATCGGCTGCAGGAGACAGGAGGGGAGCTGCGACAGCTCAAGAGGAGTCTCAGCGAGACTGAAGACCCCTTCACGCAGGTGAGCCGTGGGGCTGGGGTGAGGCTGGGGCAGTGCTGGGTGCCCTGGGCAGGGCTGTGGGACAGTGATGTCTGGGTGGAAGGAGCTGCTGTGGTGGGTGATAGGCTGGGAATGCCCAAGCGTAGGAGGACCCAACGTCATGGGACCTTCTGGGGTCCCTCCCTGGGGCTTTGGACTCTGACCACTGTCCACCTGTGCTGGCAGGTGTTTGAGGACAAGCAGCGGCTGTGGCTGGACGAGCTGGAGGACCTGAAGCAGATGTACATGGCCCGGCTGCAGCAGGTGATGCAGCAGGCGCAGCGTGGGCAGCGGGCGCTGCAGCTGCAGCTCTACAAGGCACAGCAAGAGAAGAAGCGGCTGCAGGAGGAGCTGAGCCTGCAGCAGTGCCAGTGCGAGGAGCCCAAGCTCCGGCAGCCCCAGGGAGAGCGTGGCAGCCCCAAGCTGGAGGAGACCAAGTGGGAGGTGAGTCCCCTTCTTTCCCTCACTGTTGCCACCCTCCTGGCTGTGGAGCCAGGATGAGCACAACGGTTCCCTGCTCCAGTGTCACTCGTGGCCACAGGATGGGGGGGATTACCCAGGTGTGATGTTCATGGTCTCCCAGGAGGACAATCTGGGGTGCTGCCACCCCTGGGGTCCTGATTCCCCCAGCCTTTCCTCACCGCTTGCCTGTGCCCTACAGGTGTGCCAAAAGGCAGCAGAGATCTCCCTGCTGAAACAGCAGCTCCGGGACACCCAGGAGGAGATGGCTCAGAAGCTGGGTGAGATCTTCAGCCTGAAGACGCAGCTGCGGGAGGCCAAGGCGGAGGTCCAGGCCAGGGACTCCCAACTGGCACAGCTGGCAGACTCCTTCCAGAGTCCCCCAGAGCCCAGCACCTCGATGCCTCTGGGTGATGACCCCATGCCATCGTGCCAGGACTTCCCTGGCTGCGAAACTGATGACTCCAAGTGCCGGGGCCTCCACAGCGACACGGCGGAGCCCCTGGAGCGGCAGGTGGAGTGGCTGTGGGCAGAGCTGCTGCGGGAGCGGCGTCAGGGCCAGCTGCAGGCTGTGAACTTTGAGCTGGAGAGGAAAACCTGGCAGGAGGAGAAGGAGAAGGTGCTGCGGTACCAGCGGGAGCTCCAGGCCAGCTACATGGAGATGTACCACCGGAGCCAGGCGCTGGAGCGGGAGCTGCGACAGCTGCGGTCGGAGCCCAGGGATGTCGGGACCGACTCGCCCTGGATTGAGCGGGTGGAGTCCTCGAAGATCTGAGGGATGGGATGCCAGTGGGACTGTGAAGGGGGAACATCTCTTGCTGCTGCAGCGGGACGATCTCAGGGTGTGCACAAGGACTGGCCGCTCAGCACTGCCCTGGGCCGAAGGACTGATTGCAACAGGGGAGCTTTTCCTTCTTGCAGCGCTTCAGGCCTTTCTGGTGGGGGTCTCTGGAGAGCAGGGGGGCCATCTGTGCCAGGGTGGGGGTCTTGCATGTGCCCCGTGCTCTGACTCCAGGAGCATTTGCCCTGTGATTCCTTCTGCCACGTGGGCAGAAACCAAGCACCCTGTGAAACATTCCCTGTCCCTCCTGCTCTGCTGCCCCTGTTCCTGCAACCCAGTAACTTAATGTCTTGTGAGGAGGGGCTTGAGCCCTGTCACCACCCCACTGCTTTGCTGTGGAGGTTCCACCTGCTGCTCGCAGTGGCCACCTTGTCAGCAAGGCCACGGAGCTGCTGGTGCCACTGGGAAGGCAGAGGAGGAAACCCTGATGAGTGCTGGTACTGCTGGGATGGGGCAGCTGTGCCAACACCTCTACTGGGGCTTCCCATGTCCCCAGTGTGGGGCTGCTCTGCAATGGAGGTGGTTGATCCAGCTTCCCTCGGGCTGAGAGGGGCAAGTGCCTTGTGCAAGGAGGGATGGGAACTGGTGCCCTGCTGCACTGGGAGGAACTGGGGAGGGGAATAGGACATGTAGGCAGGGATGTGTCTGAGCTGGGGAAGAGGCTGGGGTCTCCCCTCCCAGGGTGGGTGAGGGAGAGCTGGGGGAGCCAAAGGCGCTGGGAGGAAGAAGCCCTGCTCTGTGTCTGTAACAGCAGAGCCCCACACCCCGTTCCTGCAATAAACCTGTATTTCTCTCTCCCGGCTTCTGCTTCCCTTGGGGTCGGGGGGGATTCTGGCTACGTGGGCGGTGGGGCTGCAGGCTGGCCTGGGCCTGCCCCAGCACGGCTGCACCAGGGTGGGCAGGTACAACCAGTTGAGGCATTGAGGCGCAGTGAGTCACGGTGGGGCCGGGGGCGGTGGCCCTGGAGCGGTTTAATGCAGCCATGGACCCTCCAGCCTTCCTGCCCTGAGCACCAGGACCACGTTCTACAAATGCACAGACACCTTTATTCACCCCCACAGTGCTCCCCTTCCCCCCAAGTCAGTGCTCTTGGTGGTGTCCCCACAAACAGCCATGTGGCCCCTGGACAGGGACACAGGGACCTGTCACGGCCCGGCAGGGCACAGCCAGTCCTGGCTCTTCACAGTGGCAGCGGAAGAGATGACACCTCCTCCAGACACTCGTCGTAGGCCTCCTGGTACTCCTCGTGGGGCTTGATCATGATGACGCAGGTCGGGCGCTTGGAGCCGGCCGCAGCTCCCAGGTCCTGTGGGAACAGTGAGACTGTGGGGTGCCAGGTCTCTTCCTGAGGGAAGAGGCTCAGGACCAGCTCACTACATGCCCTGGTCTAATGCAGGGAATCTCTGTGCCGGCCCATCAACCCAAAGCCCTGGGCTGGCACCTGGCACAAGGGGCTGGCACTTGGCTCATGTGCCATGCTTCTTCCCCAGAGCAGGATCTGCAGAGCTGCCTGCACGAGGATGAAGCTCCAAAGACACCTCCTGCCGCTCCCAATTTTCAGCCTACGAAGAGGGTACTGGTCACAGCTCACAACTGAGGAGGGAGAAATTGTCCTGGCTGTGCCCCAGAGGGCTCTTGTCCCTGATATCCCCCAGGGCTGCTGAGGGAGTCGATCGTGGCAAATAGTTCTGTGATCCCATAGTGAAACACTCCTACACCTCCCCCATGTCCGTTCTGTGAAAAGCATCAGGTTCTTTACCTGGTCACTGCATCTGCACCTCCCCAGGACAGCTCCAGTCACAGCCTGGACTCCTCACAGGGGCTGGTTCGCCCCCAGCACTCACCGATTTGGAAGGGACGTAAGCGTAGGGGAGGCTCCTGTCCTCGCACATGATGGGGATGTGGCAGTACACATCGATGGGCAGCGTGTCCCCAGCCAGCACCGTGATCCTGCAGGGAGAGCCGTGTCAGTGGCAGGGCTGGACCAGAGGGGCCGCGGGCCGGGGCTGCACTTACCCCTTCTCGCCCTTGTTGATGAACTTCTGCACCTCCTTCACACCGCGGCGGATCTGCTTGTGCTTGGCCGCTGCAAGAGAACCACGGAGTGAGGGGCTGAGAGAGAACCACGGACTGAAGGGCTGGAGAGAACCATAGAGTGAGGGAGGGGAGTAAGAGGCTAGAGAGAACTACGGAATGGACGGGCTGGAGAGAACCACGGAGTGAGGGGCTGCACCACGCCATCGCCATGCCCCAGCCCGGCCCCGCCTCCGCCATATCCCGGCGCCGCCAGACCTTTCCTGATGCACTTGTAAAGCTTCCGCGTGAGCTTGCGGGACGCGAGGGGCTGCGCGATAGGGTTGAGGAAGTCGAGCTGCTCCCGGTACGAGCGCTCGGGAGTCGCCTCCGCCTCGGCCGCCGCCTCGGGCTTGTCCCGCGCCATGGCTCGCGCGGGCCGCTTCCGCTGCCGGGGCACGCGCCGCGCCGGGGCGGGACACGCGGCTCTCCGCTCCCCGCCAGCCAATTGGCAGCTGCGCTGGCGGTGAGAGACAGCCGCGCTGGCCAATGGCAAAGCACCCATTTACCGGTTCCACATCCCGGCCCCGCCCTCCGTCCCATAGCGCCGGCTCCGGTCGCAATCGCAGTTCCAGCCCCGTCTCCAGTCCCAGTCCCAGTCCCAATCGCAGTTCCAGTCCCAGTGCTGGCCCCAGTCTCAATCTCCGTCCCAGGCCCGGTCCCAGTCCCTGTTCGAATTCGAGTTCCAGCCCCAGTCCTGTCTCAATCCCAATACCAGTTCCAGTCCCAGAGTCAGACGCGCCAGGACAAGTTTCAACACGGGCCTTTACTGGGTGTGGTCGGTGCTGGTGACGCTCAGCCCACCCCGAGCCCAGCCCACCACAGGCACGCTCCGGGCCGCTGGCCGCTGTGCCCCGGGGTGCGGCCAGCCACCCCCGCGGCTGTGCCCAGCTCATCCACCTGGCCACAAACTGCATTTTCTCCCTTGTTTTTCATCCCAGCGAACTTTTCTCCCTGCAGGGCTACGTTGCTACTTTTCCCAAAGAAAACAGGAGGCTTCCAACATGGTGCCCCTCCAAGAAACCACTTTGATTCTTATCGCAGTGACCCAGCAGCCACCACTGGGGATAACGAGCTCTGCCCAAGGCCACGGCAGCACATCCCCCGAGCCCAGCACATCCTGAGCCCTAGAGACAGACAACACTGCTCCAAACGAAAGTGGCCTCAGGCATGGCTTGTTACCTTCTCCCTCACTCCAGCCTGTCCCTGGAGTACAGGAGGGCTTCACCCAAAACCTGCAGCTGCTCCATGACCTCTCGCTGCATCTCCACAGCGATGTGGAACACGTGGTGGTCAGAGCTGTTGTACATCACTGCGTTCTGGAACATGAGCATGAGGTCACGCTGGAACTCGATCATGGACTGAATGTGTCCCTTTGCCAGCCTTCTCTTTATGGTGGTTAAATCCATGGGTCTAGAAAAGAGAGAGAGAAGGAGAACTGAATTGCAACCCAGGAGAAGGCATCCTCTGCATGAATGTGATTATTCTCATTTCAGGGTGGCCCTGAAAGCAGAGCTATTTTCAATCAATTTTATTGCTCAGGACAAAGAGGGACAGTGAGAAAGGCTTTTCTTCCAAGTCAGACAAAAGTTAAGTTCAGCCAATGCGACATTTGCCGTCCAACCAAGTTGGCAGGTCATTAGCAGTCACCTCTGAAAAAAATGTGATGCTGAGCTCCAGAGAAGGCAAGCGGTAATTAGTCTTCATGAAGTCAGTCCAGGTCTTAGTGGAAAAAGAAAAGTTACTAAAATAGGTATCTATTAAACCCCCTTAAAATCGAATGGTGCCACCAGCAAAAATAGCAGTGCTGGTAAGGGGAACACGATGGGGAATAAATATTACTTCTCTTATTTTGACAGAATGGGAAAATGAATGGCTGCAGAGAGGACAACTGTGACCAGAATAGAACATGATTCAGCTCTGAAAAATGCCCTTAATCTCTCTGGGAAATATTGTTATGACCCACTTCTGCACTGAGAGTGAAACATCTGGGGCGCAGGCAGCGGGTGAGGAGGGGGCATTGCCTGAGGCACATCCCAGCACGGGGAGAAGGGACTGCTGAGCTGCAAGGAGCTGGATCCCCTGCCCAGGGACTGTGCCTGGGCTAAGCCATGCAATGCCTGCAAAGGGCAGGCACAATTCCCACCAGCTCCAAAGTTAGTGCAAGCTTCCAGGTTCTAATTACCCAGAAGGGAGTTTTAATAAAAGAAATCAGTGGGAAATGCTGGTGACAGCCAAACTCTGGAAAAGGAGGAAGGAAACCATCCCACTGGGCCTTTGGAAACCAAAAAACAACAGAAAAGAACCAGAGAGAAATCAACTAGTGAGCATTTCCTCCACAAACTCACCTCTTTACCACATCCCTGTATCCAGGGGCTTGTTTCTCTGACACTGGCTTCAGGAACGGGCTGCTGTATCTACAGGGACAAGGACAAAGAATGTTCTGTGCCTGCCTCTGTGCCAAAGGCAGCACTGGGACATGAAGCAGTGCTTCTCTGTCCCTGCCTGCCATGAGGGCCACAGACAGTGCTGTGCCAGCTGTGTAGGAAGCAGCACTTGGGCTCTGCCACATTAAGCAGAGGAAATAAATATGCAGTGTTCTCTCCAGCTCTGCAGCACACAACTGTTCCTAAAGCAAAGCCCTGGAGAGACAGCCCAGCCTCTGGGGAGGGGAGGACAAGGCCTGATGACACAGGAGTTGAGATTCAGGGCAGTGTGTTCAGGACATGTTGATCCAGCCCTCTGCTCCCACGTACCTGTGACTGGCTATCATCCTCCAGATGGTCAGGAGTGTTTTCTTGAGGAGCGAATGCTGAAGGGGGTTATTCCAGCTTGGCTGCACCCTGTGGATTGAAGGCATTGCCAGATTATCACACTCGAGACAAAGTGGGAGGTGGCAATTCTGCTGGCACCCACCACATCCACAACCTTGGAGTGTGATGGTGTCCTCCATAGGAACACACAAGTAAACATCCAGAATGCAGGAAGATGCAGGGCAATCGGTAAAAACAAGAGCTGAGCTGAAGGGCAGGATCAAACTGGACAGAAAACCACGTGCTACTCTGCAGTTTAGAACTTTACTGAGGTGGTTTTTATGAAGTTTCTCATCCCAACCCCCCATGTCTTTCCTTTGAAAGGCAGCCCAGATGATCACACGTGGCAGAGCCTGCATGTGACAGACATACCTGCACCTGCTTAAAGGGGGTTGGTAATGCCTCTCTCAGGAGCTGGACTGTGCATTGCCTGACAGAACCTGATGCCCAGCCTATCTGCCTTGAGGAAATGCATATTTTCCATTTAATCTCTTATTTAATCTCTGCTCTTCTCAATCCACTTTAGGATCGATGCCTCAAAATGCTGGCAGATCCACAGAGATAGCACAAGTTCCCTCCTGTTCTCCTTGGCTGTCTCACGTTCCTGGATGTGACCTGTGCCATACACTTGTTCTCATGTGTGACAAGGGAAACGACTCTGTTCTGCTGCACCTGCAAGAAAAGAACCAGCTACTTACAGGTGTGTGTTGGGAGGGCTTGTGGAATCCAGCACTGGGGCTGCAGAGGTGCTGCCACTGTCGTCTTGGTCCTGGGCTTGAGCACTCATCTCCTGTGCATCCTGCTCACCTAAAGCTTGTTCTCCAGGTGACTCTGGAGTCTTGTCCTGAGGAGCACAGAGGAGTAGACATCTAAAATGGCAGCCTGAGATAAAGGACCTGAGTCCTTTATCTAGAAGCCAGCCTGCTGCACATCCCTTTACTGCATCCGGGCTCAGCTGGGAGCTCACTTGCTCTCTGTTATTCTTAGGATGATGTTTGACCTTACTCAGACCTTCCCTGTGCTGCTCAGCGCTCAGTAACAGCTGGGTCTGATCTCTTGGATCCTGTCCACCTCTGGCTAACACAAACCCTGTGGAGCTGCCCAGTGTTGTGTCTGTCTGCTCTCTGGGAAGAGTCATGGATGTAGAGAGGGCAATCAGCAGCTGAGGTAAGACTGCCTCAGGCTTGTTAAAGCTCGAGATACAGATAACAGGATCCCCTAGAGCACAACAAGGTTGTTTCCCCAGAAACTCCCACATGAATATGACAGGGAATAGAGTCATCCAGGAAGAAGAGTGGTGCTGTTGGACTAATTTGCCAATAAAATGTAGAGTGGCAGGAGAGGGAGGCTTTTTGAAGTCCAGATGTGGGATTATGTGCAGGGGCACCTCAGAATCCTCAACAGGTCTGAAGCACGGGCAGACTTCTCAGGAAGAAACTGGACGCTGTGCTGTGTTTGACTTTGACCACTGGCAGAACTACGAGGGAACTGCTGTTAATAACAGCAGTTAAGAACAGAGTAACTTCTGGGAATAGCACTGTTCTGCCTGAACAGGTGAAACCCCTGAAAGTTACTTGACTCCAGTGTCCGAGTTTTCAAGGGAACAAGTGTGAGTGTGGAAAAACTACACCGTTCTTCCACTGCTATGTTACCTGTCCCAGGAATACCTCGCAGGCTGGTGGAAGACCACAGCCCCCTAGACACAGGACTGATGCAAACCCAGGCTAAACAGTGCCTGCTTCCAAGACATGAAGGTCCCCAGGGGCAGATGGTTATTGCTGGCACAGCCACGTGGGCCTGAAACCAGCCAAGCTGTGCTGCAAAACACAGCAATTAGAACAAGGCAAGTATTCCAGTCTTGCCTTAAACCTGAGAGCAGCCTGCCAGCTCTCATGAGTCACCTTTACACTGCCAAGGAGCAATTCCTCCAACTCACATCTGAGGGTTTGATCTGTAAAAAGCTTCCTGTTTATAAAGATACACAGCCATACATAAAAAACACCCTTCCCTCTTATATTTCTCCTGCGTTCCCCTCCCTGCTGTCTCCTCCTGTGTGTCCCTGCCTCCCTGGGACTCCCCCATCTCTTCTAGAGCTAGTTTCCTTCACTCTCTATTGTCTCTCATCCAGGACCAAAGGCTCTTTTAGGACCACCACTACCCTACCCCTCTTCCCAAGAGGTGTTCTTTCTCATCTTCTGCCAGAATGTGTAGTTGACTTCTCTCTGCTCCCAAGACTGCTGTTCCTGTGGTCTTTTCCTGGCACCTCACATCTTCCCCATCACTCTGCTTCCCTAAGCCACAATAATCCCACTGAGTCTGTGATGACTCTGTGCTGTCAGTGCAGAGAGATTCCAACATCTGGGTTACCTGCAACACAGTGATTTATTACTTCAAATTGTGAAGGCAAAAGGGAGAAGAAATAAACAGCACAGATGCTATTTTTGCATTCACTCATGAACGCCTTTCCATTTTTAGGAATCCTTGCAAAGTCTTCTGATGAAGCCCTATGTTATTATTACAGTGTCAGTTCACTGACATTTCTGTGCTTTAGGGTGAGCTGTGTTTTGGCAAAACAGCTCCCTTGTTGCAGTGCCAGCTCCAAATGGGAGGAAGGGCTGGGCTTGGGCCAGGGAGTGAGTGAACCCAGGGCATCTGCTGTGCCCCCAGATTGTTTCTGTGTGTAGGGATGGTGGAGGCTCTGAAAAACCCCGATGTTTCAAGAGGGTCTGAACTATGCTGCCCACCTTCCTGTCATCCAAACAGCCCTACCTCGAAAAGGAACTGGAGAAGATTGTTGCTTTCATACGGCTTCTCTGTCTCTTGGTAATCTTCACTATCATCCTCCCAGAGAGGCTCACTCAACCTCAGCTCACAGTCTGCCTCTTGGGTGCTCTCCTCTACCTTCCCCACAGCCATGTCTTCAGTATTTCTCCAGCTCCTCATGTCCAGATCCAAGCTTGAATCCCAGTCGGGAAGAGGCTGGAAGCCACTGTTCTGTGACTCCCAGGATTGGCCCATCTGCAAACAATAAAAAGAGAAAGCAATTTATTTGTACCCTGATCCAGAACTGCCGAGCCCAGCTTGTTTCATGACACACTCTGAGAGCCCCAGCACAGGAAGGACTCTGAGGTGAGCAGTCTGTACCTGCTCAGTCTATACCTGAGCCCTACACACAGCATGTGGCAGGGCTGCAGCTCTGCAACACAAACTGCTGCTTCAGAGCAACTGCATTATAGGTTTTCTGGTGCTTTTGCTGTGCCCTTCCCCTGCCCAGGGATTGGTGGGTCACTGTGCTCAGGGCTTGCTGAGCTGGCTAGAAGCACGGGGTTTTGCTGGATGCTCCATGTTTAAGGTGCTGAAGGCACCAGCAAGGTCAAACTGAGTCCTGATGGGGCTCCTCAGCTGCTGACTGTTGTGAACAACTTGTGACTCCAAGGACAACTCACTGAAATTCCCTTTGCTGCCCCTTGGAAACCTTTTATACTGGAAATAACTTATTACAAAGCTTACAAACACTTTGTTTTTAAAGTGACAGGTGTGATTTAGCTGGATGGTGATATCTCATCTACCTGAGTCAGAAGAATTATAACCCTGCACAGATACACACTGACAGAGGACAGTTCTACATATTTCAGAAAATAAAAATTAGCAATCTCTTAAGAAGGAAGAAACCATTAATTTCATCTCTGTTCATTAGTCTATGCCTAAGTATCTTCTACTGCAGTAGTCAACTAAGATTTCTCTAAGCCTGGGGAATTGCTTGCAGAGTCACAGTAACAGTAAGTGATGTTAGAGAATCTGTATCTTGCCCCTGAATGGAGCTGTGTGGATGCTGCACCTATGGAGAATTCTATGCATTAATTACAGTGTCTTTAGAGTTTTCAGTTAATTACGTACAACCTAATTTTTTCAGAGTTTTGAACAAGCACATTTCTCACTGACTGCCTTTTGCACTCTCAGGACTGCTAGCACAGCTCCAAGTACAGCTTATGGTGCATAACTGAGAGAAATAAAGAATCCACTGGGTTTGAGGATGAGAAAACTGGTTTGCTTATTTCCTGAACTTGCCAGCAGAGTTAGGATCTGAAAGCCTGTCCTTCCAAAACCTCTTTCAAAGTTAACTTCAGTGGAAGCAGAAGAAATTTGATGAGATAAGAGATAACATTACCTGCTCTCAGCTTCCAGAGTTGGTGTTGGGCAAGGAGTTGGGCAAACTGAGATTTCATCTGAAGAGGAACCCTGTGCCTAAAGCACTGTCCTGCACCCTCAGCAGAGCTTGGCACACACAGAACCAGCCACTGCAGCTCAGCTGAGGAACAGAAAACCCTTACCCAGGGTAATCTGATCCTTTATGATCATCTTTCTGTACTCCAGTTGAGAGGGTTTAAAATCAGAAAGCCCAGGGAACTTGGGCATAAGCATTGATTAAAGAGATCTTCAGCCTTATGTTCAGTTTTCCCAAATCTTGGAAGACTCAAGATGCCAGAGAGCAGAACAGCAGCTTTAGTGCAAGACATGATGAGGGAAATAATCCCAGGCTGCTCAGCTCCACACCAATTCTGGACCAAATGATACAGACTTCAAATTTTAATTAAGAACTGCCTGACAGTTCTTAATAATGTTGGCCACATAAGTCACCAGCAAGGAACCTTTCTCAAATTGGAAAGTTTTAGTTCGCTTTGCAGAGATCAGACACTGTGCAACCCTTGCTGATTTGAGAAAAAGCTGTTAGAAATCAAGGAGGCAGTCTTTAAAAAGAACTTACATGTCAAAACAAGAAAAATGATAAAAGCCTGAACTCTACTAAATGAAATCTAGAATACACATAAAGTAGGCAAAAAAAAAAGGAAAAAGAAAACCAGAACAATTTGCTAAAGACATAAAAGCAAATAAAAACAACAAACCTCATCAAAAACATCAGAAGCAGAGAACTGACAGATGATCAGTGGCGATGACGCATGATCAGTGCCAAACATCTCAGTGGAAAATAGGGCCAGTTGGAAAAACCAAATTAATCATCATTATCAGCAGTGCCACAGAGGAGATCACATGAGACCTTCTCTTGGGATGGGTCTGAGAGATGGTTTCTAATTAAAATGTCAACAGGGGAGGTTTTAGAACAATTTAAGGGAGTGGGTAAACCTTAGAACCCATTGGGATTCACTTGTGAGTCTTAAAGAAGCTTAAATATAATGTGACCAATCCTACGCTGTGTAACCTGTCATTTAAGTTTAAGAAGAAAACCAGAAAGGGGTGATTGTTTTATCTGTCTGTAAAAGGGTGGGTGTTGGGAGATAAAGCACAGTAAAACATCAGCTCTGTACCAGACAGATTAGAACAAAGTATTAGGAAGAACAGAATTAGTAGTCAGAGCACGAGATGATGAACTGGGAAAGAGGCAATGGGGCTCTGTAGAGAAAATCATATCTTAAGAGTTTTAAAGCTCTTAGACTATTAAAAGGTCATGGGACAAGGGAAAAGACTGAGAGAAAAATATCTGTTTAAGAGAAGAAACCAAGGGTAGGAAGGAACAGAAATGCTTGACACAATGAAAGCAAGTTACTTGTGGGCCTTATAAAGGTCCTCTCACATGCTGCACCTTCAGTTTTCCAACAGAGACAAAGGCAGGGCAGGGGTGTTACAGAGGAGATGGAGCCAGACTCTTCTCAGTGCCCAACAGTGAAAGAAGGGGACAGTAATGACAAGTTGCACCAAAGGAATTTCAGACTAGGTAAATATTTACTCCACGAGGAGTGGGTAAGCACTGAAACACCTTGTCCAGAGGTGCTAGGGAACCTCCATCCTTGATTTTCAAAACTTGAAAAATCTACCTTTGAAGCTGGCCCTATTCTGAGCAGCAGGTTAGAGGAATGCACAGAGGTCCTTTCCAACTTAGAATAATAGAATCGTTGGGTTGGAAGGGAACTTAAAAGGCCATCCGGGTCCAGCCCCCCCTGCAATGAGCAGGGACATCTTCAACTAGCCCCAAGCTGCTCAGGACATCTCCAGGAATGGGGTACCCAGCTTCTCTGGGCAACCTGTGCCAGTGCCTCACCACCCTCATTGTAAAAAAAATCTTCATCTAGTCTAAACTGACTCTCTTTTAGTGCCAAACCATTACCCCTTATCCTGCCACAACAGGCCATGCTAAAATGTTTGTCCTCAACTTAAATAATTCCATAGCATACACAAAGAACCCTGTAACTTTTTGTGTTGTGAAAATAACAAGCTGTACTCTCTGGAAACTGTAACACAAAAACTCAAATCAGAAATGTGTTCCCAGGTTTAGTATTGAAGGACAATTAACCAAAAATCAAAGGATTTTCAGCATTTCCACATCGTTCTGGGTGAAAATACACCTCAGTGATACATGGAACTAAAACAGCAGGCACAGCCAACTTCAACAATAAACTTGTGAAAATAAAGAGCTCTTACTAGGCCAGGTAACAATGCCTCTGGTCTTAATCCCAGTGACTCAGTTTCCTGAAACCTGTGTAACAGAAAGCTGCAGCCTGTACATGCTGCAGAGTGTATAACACTCCCAGCTGCTGCAAAGCATCAAGGATGATACTGTTTTGTTGGTGTCTTTTCTTCCCCATGGAAGGCTGTGGGGGCAGAAAACCCTCAAGTTTCATCTCACAGGTTGTATGAGCAGAAAAGAAGGTGGCAACTTAGAAATTCTCACAGAGAACTTCAACCTCCATGTTGCTTAGGAAAAGGACTGTAATTTCCAGTATAAACAGTGCATAAACTCAGATGTGAAACCAGGTACTGGCAATCCTGCCTGCAGCTGCTGGGATCACAGACTTTCACTAGTGTAGCCTTCACAGATCTCCGGGGAAAGAATGTACAGTACTTTTCAATGCGTTTTCTCCTAAGGGAAGCTCCAACAAGACTGTGTTATTGAACTTCTCATGGTTAGATTTCCTGTATCATCACAGTGGTGCTGTATCCTCACTCACTCAAGCAGAGAATCTTCCTCTCCATCCAAGCATTATGGAACATTCCCGTGATTAATGGATAGTCTGTAAGGCCAAAGCTCTGCCATGTGTGTGTTGGTCTATGGACAACTGGAAGAGAATTATAGCTGCAGATATTCAAGGCGGGTACCCAAGCTTGTTCCACAGGGTTGCTCCCTGCAGAGCTGCGATGCTCAGTACACTGCACACCGGTTTGTTCCCAGATTTTAATATACATCACATTTACACATCACCAGTAAAAATCTGTACACTTCACAATACAGTACATACGAGCCACCAGTCGCTAGCTAACACCAGAACACTGATGAAGCCCAAGACAACTGCCCTAAAACAGGCAGGGGGGCTAGTCTTCCCCTCTGGGGAAGTTTCTTTGGGATACATATTCCAACGAGACAGTGCTTTCCAGAGGGGCAAGTGAAGAAGAAGGTGAACCAGGTCCCAGAAATGGACCTGCAGCTTTTCTTCCTCCTCCAACAGCTGTTAAGAGCAGCCTGCTTGCACTCCAGCTCCAGATGCCAAGTGCTGGGATTCAGCTGGGATTCTCTCGGTGCCTGTAGCATCATTTCTTCATCTTCAGGTCTGCCTCGATGGCGCAGCGCCGCCCTCTGGTGCCTCCGTCCTGCTCACAAGGCAAACAAACACAGTTACACAACCCGACACCAGAGCTCTGCTCCCTCCAGCACAGGGGGAGGGAGGGAATTCTGCATCTGGCAACAACTTTTCATGCCTTCCAATCAGGAGAAAGGGAAGCTGTCCCTAAGGCGGCCTGGGGAGGCCTGCCTGCAGACCTACCTAAAGATTGCTCTGGACACAGCAGGGTGCTGGGCTTGGCAGCATGTGTGCACTGCTGGACCCAGGGCAGAGAGAGGCAACATGACTCTTGCCCAGATATGTGCTTTTGGAGCCTGGACAGCACAGGCTTTCTCCTAAATGGCAGATTCTAGCTTAAGGTGGGAAGAGGAAACTGCTGACTAACCTACCTTATCAGCTGCTGATCCCTATGGCAAGTGCTCCTCCAGTTGAGTGACCCTGGCACTAGCTCCCTAGTTTCTTGGCATAACTCCTTTCCATGAGCAGAAGGCGAGCTGAGAGCTTCCTTTGATGCGCTGCCCTCTCTTTCTGGCTGACATGCTGACTCTCCTGGAGTACTCCTCTGTCTTTAGATACACGTGAGAGATAAGAACAACTCTCCAACTTCCTCTCCTCTCTCCTCCCCGCAACTCAGAGACTTGGGGTTCCCCAGAGGGAGTATTTTTCCAAACACTTCTGGATCACCACAGGCACAGAGCAAGGTATTTCTGCAGAGTGTCTTATTTGCTTTCTGGACCAGGAATGATAAAGGAGTACACAGCTGACTCCTCACTCTCCCAAGACCTGTTGTACTGCCTCCGACGTGTGGAAGGGGCAGCTGTATAAACATGGGAGATGTAGGAAATACAGGTCTGCACCACTTGGTTTGTCTTCCCACTTACATGGAAAGAAAGCAGGAGAGAAGTTGTGGAAATAAAGCAAAAGCAGATGACAAAACGAAAACTCTTGGAACCAAAAGAATAGACTGAAGCCCCTCCCGCTCACCCACGCTGAGAATAAGGGACTGAGATGTTTCTTCTCTAAGGATCACAGTGGTGCAGCCCCCAAGTCAAACACACCCCTTGCAGTGCTAAGGATGCTGTGACAGTGCAGTGATCACCCAGACAAGGAGCAGAGCACCTGCCAGCAGAACCTGCTGGAGCCTTTCAATACTTACAAAGAGAGAGAGAAGGAAGGCAGGAGAGCCCATTGGGACACTGTCCTGTTAAAAGGCCAAACAGAAGGACTTATCAGGCATCAGCTACGGAAATGCACACACCACACAGAAGCACTGAGCCCACACACGAGCATAGAGAAACATGTGCCCCACTCCCCTTCCTGCACAGCATCAGTCTTATGCAGCAGGAACATAAAAACAGACAAAAAGAGGGATACTGCAAGAGTCAGAATGCTAGGAAAGGGATGTTCCCTTCTCAGCCATGGCAAGGCCTGGTCTACCAAACAATTTCTGCAAGGTGCAGTTGCCGCTAGA